AGTCGACACTAGGTCGAATGTTGATCTCAATAACATTTCAAGCGTAAATGTGTTATTAAGAGATTCGAAGATCAATCCCACCAGAAGACACCGGCGAATTCTCTTTAGCCAGCTGTAGGATGGCTCTACTGGAACATTCTGGTGGAATCTGTTCTCGAGGCGATCTCCTTTATTCCTGGGGAAAACATGCTGAGTTTTCGTCTTTCATATGACAGACATAATCAGAGCTGGCTATCCTTCTTACAAAAGTATACAAACTAGCATGCCATGAAAACCCACTGGAGCAGGTGGCGATTTTTTGAAACCACTGGATATTTCAGATGATCTCGCGGAAATGATGGAAAAAATTTATAGATGCCATCAGTTTAGGTAACTCAGAAATTTTACATTCAAATCAAATTGAGGAATAGGGGCCAAACGATGAGGGTTTATAAGCGTAAAAATATTTATTTCAGCAAAAATAATTTCAATAGTCTATCCAGTATGCCATTTGATGATAGTGGTGAGCTCCTCTTGGAAAGCGTTCTAAATTGAGCCTTTCCAAATGAGGAAAACCATTCTATTGGGATTTTGGTGGAATCAATTATTTTGACAAACAAGCTGCCTGAGAAGATTTAGCATAGTATAGGACGAAAATATATTCCACATTTTGGGCAGGCAATTTTTACAAAAGTAAAGTATGACTTGAATATGACTTATAGAGATTTACATCTAGATAATCTATTTGTATTGACGGCAGATGAGGGCAGTGCAGTAGTCGTCATGGCTAGACCAAGTTGGATAGAAAAAATGAGGATCAATTCAAAGGACTAAAAAATAGAAAAAAGCTGGCTGAGGATCCCATCGAGGCTCTCGAGGTCAGATTTAGAGAAGTTGCTTAAAGTTAGTGTAGACAATGGAAAAATGCAAAAGTGGAGAATCAATTCACTTATTTAATCAAGAACGCATATTAATCGGTTTAAAAGTTAGATCAGCAAGGTAGTAAAGTGGAGGACCTTCTGGTGTGCTTTGATGTGGCATCAATGATTACTAATAATCCAGTTCAGGCAGCTATTCATTCGCTGACACTGACTCAAGAAGAACAACAGGAAATTATTGAAGGAGCATATAAAAGCAAAGGTTTCGTTTCAGTACTACTTAATCTATACATGAGGAGCGCTTACTTCACTTTATTGATAGGTTTTATGAACAGATACACCGGCGTGCAATGGTATCTTGCTTGGCTTCCATTCTAGCTAATACATACATGTCATGCATGGATTGAAGCTTTATGGAAGAGGCAAGAATTACATCAAAAATGTTGGTTTGCTGTATGGATGATTATTTGTAATTTGGCCACTTGGTAAGTATAGATTATATAATTTCTTGTTACTAATTAATCGGATAAATAGTAATATTAAGTCCACAATGAAACTAGAGGGAGATAATTGTTTACAGTTTTGTGATGTCTTGGTTACCAGTGAAGGAAAGAAGTTGGACAAGGTTTAGATAGGATGTCAACATATACTGAATACTAAAAGCAACTTGGTCCAGATGAATCCCCGGAGAATGGTCTACCTCATTGGAAGGGCAAAATTATATCCTTTTTCCAATAAATGTTCCAAACTATCCTCCAGAGTTATACTAGCTAAATGGCTTACCTTATCTTTCCCCAGTTTGTTACAAACATGATTACTACGACATACCCTAAGCAGAAAATTTTTCAATCTTATTCTAATTCCCAAGTTCCGGAGCTTCTTATCATGTGTCCGCCGAGTCATTCTGTCCATAGCCTCTCCTAACTCGTCAGCCATATCTTGTTACCGGAGGAAATCCAAATAAGTCAGTACTTCAGAAAGCGATTGTATAAGCCTGGTTTGGGTTCTAATTAAATAGTATAATTAATTAATGCTTTTCTATAGTCTTGTGTGAAAGATCCAACAGAAAAGAACTCTAAAGGGTGTCTTTATGGTATGTGTAAGTAATGGTTAAGTGGAGAAGCGGAAAATGAATTCGCTACTCCAGAGAGATGCAACTGCCCCAATGACTCACGGTCTCCATAAGGTTCACAAGGAGGCTGTTCCTCTAAGATTAATTGTAAATAATAAAGGAAGTGTGGTGCATAAAATAGCACGTTTTTTATGCATACAATTAAGAAAAACTACCCATTTTTGGATATATTCATTTAAAAATTCTTATGAGTTTGTACAATTAGTTGATCAGCAAGTAACTTCAGAAGAAGGTAAACCAATAAGTTTTGATGTTATGTCTAGGTGCATTAACATTCCTGTTCAAGGGCTATTCAGGCTCTAGTACAAACTCTGGAAGATCATCGAGAGATCATACAAGGAATAGGGTTGAGCATTGCATCTATACATATATTATTTAACCTATCCATAAGTAGCGCCTATTTTAACTTTGATGGTACATTTTATGAGCAGACACAAGGAGTTGTGATGGAATCTTGCTTAGCTCTTGTCTTGACGAACTACTGTAAGGTCAAAATCGGGGAACAATATTTGGACGTTCATTGTAAGGAAAGATCATATATTTTCCGCCAGACCATTCGCCATTTCTGCAATTTGAGTAAGTCCTCTTGAGAAAATAGCCGTGAAAAGTATAGACTAGTCCTTGTTTTGGTTCTAATCAGGTTATGTAATTTGTCTATGCTTTCTTTGAGTCTAGTCTTAACTAAACCACCTCTTACATACTCCACTTTCTTATTAGTGGAAATAGGTAAATCTGAAAGTCTACCAAGAATACAACACCTAGAAACTGCATTATGTAAAATACCAATTTTTAAAAATGTAATAGTATTTCCTTTCCGGGATATAGATTTCTTGTTTTTCGTATAGCCAGACATGACCTTAACTAACCAAATCACTTTATATTTGATCAGAGGCCAGATGTAGAGTATATAACCACGTTTTACGGATTTGTCGGTGAGTTTTCTTGACTCGTTAGCTTGAATTTTGTTGTGACGATAATACCTTGCTCTGATGATGTTCGTCCTATGACGGACGAAAGCTTAGCACCTTTTCATCGGAATTGAAGGAGTTTGCCTCGGAAACAGCGTCAGCATGAATCTTCCAGCTAATCGACAGCTGGTCAAGAGGAATCCGCTGTCGTCTTCTGGTGGAACCAACCTGCGAATCTCTTTACCCAAAACTTTCACTCGAAATGGAAGTAAGCTCTACAATTATGAAAAAATTATTCCTGGAAAATGATTCTCCGTTAGGAATTATCTCTTTACTGAGAAATAAATTTTCAGGCGGAGATTATGCAGCCAAGAGTAGACAAGCTGACACCTTTTCACATGTCATAATTTTGCCATATGCATTCTTTCTAAGAAGATAGGCGAATAAGTGACAAAGCACGGGATAAAAACAGTGTTTAAAGAAAATCTTACATTTTCTCCTGTTATGCCATATTTTACAAATAAATATGATCCATTATCGAGATCCGGTTGCTGCAAGATTGTGTGCTCCATTGGTCGACTTTATGCTAGTGTGACATGCTGGCCTATTCGACTAAGATTGGAGGAACAATAAAATGCTTGTAAAGTAAGCTGGATTAAGCGGTCAGAATTGGCCGAACACATACCAGAGACTGTACATGAGAAAGAATGGTCTCAAATGAGTAGATTTGCTGATTACGATATGTCTGTTGTTAAAAGGAAGATAAGAGAGGTTATTACATTTTATAAATTAGGAAATACGTTGAACATGAAAAACGGTGGTAGATAGCTGTGTAAGAACAGCTCATGCTTGATTGATAGATTGAAGGAGAGAGAGAGTGTTGAGCCACCATCCCGAAAATGGCGATTCAATTTCTCGTCGCTGTGATGGCTCTCATTTCACTCACACTCGTCCAACATGTTAAATTAAGCTCATCAGCCAACCCAGACGTAAGAGATTAGGCAGCCGCAGTGATACATTTCCTTAGGTGGTTGTACCTTAGGGACCCTAGACTGAGAGGTCAGGGCAGATGGTTTCGTAACTTGACTTACACACTTACAAGCTTAGATCTCAGTATCTCAACCATGCTTGATTACGGACTTACCCATTTTCGGTCATTAAGCCTTGATGACATGAGCCTGACATAAGCCTTTTTGATCACTCTGATTTGGTACCGGTATTGCATATTGACGTTCACACACAAGCGAAAGCACAAACACATACACTAGAGCATAGTTAGAAGGACTATTATTAAAGATAATTAGCTAAACAATTCTATATCAATCTAGGTCTCTTAACTTTCTTTTTTTCTAATTGAGTCTATATTAGAAGTTAAGATAGAGCCGGATAGTCTTTTTGACCCAGTGCTAACGTTAGACGTTTACAAGAATCAGTTCCAGCTCTGATGATGGTCGAAAGCTCAGCCGGTTTTCACCCGAAACGAGGGAGGATGTCTCGTGGACTGCGTCAATATGAGCGTGGTATTAAGGCCAAACGGCCTCAGTACAACAAGAATCAGCCGTCCTCTTCTAGACTGGCCTTCCTTGAAATTCACATCTGCCCTGTGACTCAGGGACACTCATGGCAATGTGGTCGAGTGGTTACCATCTTAACCTCCCATTTTGCACTTTCACGGTTCGACTCCCGCTGGGAGTGTTGATAAGACAGATGCGAAGTCGAAACTGCAGTCCACTGGTGCCTGGATGAGAACAACTTTTGGGAAAGCAAGGCCGTGTGAAATTCAGTGGAAACGTCAGCTCTACTGATATTATTGTGGTAAAATTCTACTTTCAGTCCTTCATCACCTTAAAAGAAATAGCGTGAATACATCTCATATTACTGATTTACTGGTAGTCTCGAAACTCTACATAAATACGAAAAATAATTAATTTGAGTCATCACTGCTGGTTTCGTACATATACGTATACATGAAGGCACATAAGTGCAGACACACTCACTTGCCTTTGGATTGACATATGACTTTAACTAACCAAATAACTTGATATATCATCAAAATGCATAGATTTAAGGTATGCATACAGCATTTAGGAATAAGTCTCTTCATTTTCTTGACTACGTCAGCTTGATCATGGTTGCAAGAGTGATACCCTGCGCTGAAGAAGGCTCAGCATGTTTTGACTGGACTCGAATGAGATTGACCCTAATATAGCGTCAGCAAAAGTGTTCTAGTAATTCCAACCGACAGCTGAAAAGAATTACTCTGCCGTCTTCTGGATGGCTGGACCTTCGAATCTACTCATCGCATACATTTTTACTCTAAATGAAAATGAGCTCGACAATACAGGAGAAGCCATTGAGACACTTACCAGAAAGGCAAAGTAAGCAAAACGTGGTGAATTAAGGATCTAAACAAGGGAAAGTGTATGTGTGTTCGTATATCCCACAAGGTAGAAGGTAAGATTGGACAAGACGCTAATGAAAAGAGGAGTACTTTTTGAAGAGTAATTTTCGGAACTCAGTAATTCGTGAGTAAGAACAAAGTCAAATTGGCCACTTAAGATGCTTTAGTGGCTGATAATTGAATTGTTTTAGAATGAAATTAGTAGACCCCATCGTGTCATATTAATACACTTAGCCTTGACTACAGTCTTTCTCGTTATAGCTGGGCCACACTTTTGACCTCGTCTATGTCTCACAAACACACTATACAACATTTGAAACCTGGTGCTAAGGTGAATAGAGATTTTACTAAAGATTTTCTGATTGCTTCTAAACTTTTACTTTCTGTCGACAATATTAATTTGAGTGAGCTTCTTGTGCTTATAACTTAGTTCGGATTCCATTTAAAAATTATGATTAGGCAGAGAAGAGGTAAAAGCAACAGTCCAGTCTGAACAAGAAGGGCATTTCGTAATGCATGAAACAAAGTAATTTAATGCAGAACCAATTATGTAATTTTTAATAGCTTTTTATAGAAACGGTATATCGTGTCAACGAACTAGCGAGAAATCTAAGAAATTGAGTTATTATATAACAAATGAGTGCTATTGAATATAATGTGATTCCGGCATTTGATTGAAAATTTTCTCTTAAACAATAAAAGAGTAAATTTAATCCCATTCGATTCTTATCAGTGACAAACTATAGTTCCAGCCTCTCCTGATACTCAACTGCAAACTCAAAAAAGGCGGACCTTGATTTTTCCAGTCATGATAAGGGCTAATATGTAAACGTTTAAAGCACCATTGAGCTACAGACAAAGTTTAACATTTAGTCCCCGTCTACCAAAATGATGGGTTGAGAAGGCAGATTAGGTTCTGGTATTTTGTTAGACTTGTGGATTTGAAACCCTTAGCAAGTCCTGGGTCTGAGTCCCTGTGGTGCTAATAAGTAAATTTAAACAATGCCAAAATCGCTGCCTACCTTGGCTGTGATCCAAACTTTTGGACACAAGGTACAACTAAGCGTTATGACAATTAGCCTACCTTCATGAGGAGATCAACTATTAAACTTGTTACCAAATAGTCCGAGCATATATCAAGAGAAACTCGTTTTTGTGGAAACTTTTAATACATCAACATTGACTAAATCTTCATGCCCCCTGGAATTTTTATATCTGCACGTACATACAAAGACACACACGCATTGAAATACCCCAATGCTGATGAAAAGCTAGATACGTTTTCACTGGAACCGAGGGAGATTAAATAGTTGATTTTGTTGCGCTGCGATACCGTGAAGGTCTTCATGTGCTAAGAGGTAATGGTACACAACCTGACCGGAGAAGGAGATCATGTCACAAATACCTTGTATGGAATAAAATGATATACAAATAAGGTAGGCGATTAGATGTGCAAATGTCCTTAGCAAACTGGTGTCGTGTCCAAGGTCAATCCCAATTAGGAGAATTAAATTTTTCATTCATTACGGTGTGTGAGAGTGTGTGTGTGTGTGATTTTCAGTGGATGACTTGACTTTATGTAAATGTTCAGCCTAGTAGATCCAATCGGAAACCTAAATTCAGATAGCGAGAGCGTGAATGATAGAAAGGTCGCACAGGTTGAGACAGAATAAGAGATTTTGTAAGTGGTCTTTATGAAATAAGAAACCGTTTGCAAATATATAATTAAGGAAGGGTCTCTATGAATCACTTGATTTAGAATTGATGAACTCACTTCTATTTCAAGTAAAAGCTTGGGATAAAGAGGCACAAAAGTCGACCTCTCCGGAAGATGGGGGCGCCTTTCTCTTGGCCCTGTCCTCAAGGCAATCTTCTTGGATAAGTATTCGTCCGTAATATGATGGACATTACCAGAAGAAGGCCTCATTTTTGCGCTCGTATTGAGTAGGTCCCGAAACTACAAGAAGGTTTTGCAATAGAACCAGGCGAGATCAAAACTGCATCCCAGTCCAGCCAGGATGAGAATACCTTTTGGAAAGCAAAGTATCATATGGCTTAAGCATATGCTCATGGAAAAACTCAACCATCATTATTTTCCTTGTTTTTGCAACTTGGCAATAATGGAAGGAAGACCTAGAGGAATGTATGTTGTCTGGAGGCCATAGTATGCAAGATAATTTCAAGAGTCGGTCCGTGGACTTGATACATTCCCAGACATTTTCGCCGGCATCGTCAGTGGGCCTTGCCACAAGGGAAGCCGATCCTTTGACCAATTGTCTGTTAAACAATCGTGGTATCTCTCCTCCCGCCTGGGATAATCACCGATCGCATATCCTCGTATCACCCCTACACTATCACAATTTATTATTTGAATGTGGCATGGTGTGCCCATTTGAGCGGATTCCATGAGAACTCTCCACGCCCCACACTGGCAATTAATTGGTGAAAGGATCGGTTTCACTTGCTTCTTTGACGAGTTGTGGTACGGTGCTAAGACTGGCAAGGCTCACTGACGGTGCCGGAGAAACTTCTGGGAATTTACCACGTCCCCGGTCCGATTCCGGAAATTATCATGCATACTATGGACTCCGGACCAGGTGTTATGTATAACATC